CCCCGCTCTAACCACTACACCCCACTCCCTTCCCAGAGCCGGGATAGAACCCAGGAGTCCTCGGCTCCCACGGCCCCCCCCCCCCCGCTCTAACCACTACACCCCACTCCCTTCCCAGAGCCGGGATAGAACCCAGGAGTCCTCGGCTCCCACGGCCCCCCCCCCCCCGCTCTAACCACTACACCCCACTCCCTTCCCAGAGCCGGGATAGAACCCAGGAGTCCTGGCTCCCAGGCCGCGCCGCCCCCGCCCTCCCCTGTGCTCTAACCACTACACCCCACTCCCTTCTCAGAGCTGGGATAGAACCCACAGGGTGCTCAGCTGTCCGTGGGTGCTGGGCTGCGGCCCACACCCCCCCAGCAGGGCCCCCTCCACTGCTGCCGTGGCTTCCCTGTTCCTGCTCTGTCCTGGACCAGCCTCTGCTCCTGGGGCCAGGTGTAAACTAGCGTGAGCGGGCGCGTGCCCCCAGTTCACCTGCTGGCTGAGATTGGGGACAGTGGGGGGCATGTGCTCCCCGGCTGATGCTTCTCCCCCCCTCCCCACCAGGAGCCGCCCGTGTGTGGTGAGGGACTTGCCCATAGAAGCGAGGGGGGCGGGGGGTTCCTGGAGCTGGGATTTCGGCTCTAGACAGGCTGTAACAACGCCCTTTTCTCCCCCCTCCCCAGGCCCTCTCCCAGCGGGATCCACCCCACAACAACTTCTTCTTCTTCGATGGTATCAAAGGGAACGGGGTCGTGGAGTGCCTGGGTCCCCGCTGAGCCTCCCAGCGCGTCGGCCTGCAGCTGCAGTTCATCACCCGGAGCCGCTGGAGTCCCTCTGCCTCCCTGCAGCGCCCGGCCAGCCGCAGCGTGGTGCCGCCGGAGTCCTGCTTGCACCACGCTCCCCTCCAGCCGCAGCCGGCCAGGCAGCGCAGGCATGGCCCCCACGTGGGGCGGGGCGGGATGGGGACGTAACAAATCCCCACTCGCTCCCCCCGTGTGTTCTCCTGGGCTCTCCAATAAACTCGCTTCTTCCCAGGCTGGCTCCTTTCCTTCCAGCGCAGCCCCGTCCAGGGCGGGAGCCCCGGCTGGTGGGGCTGGCAGTGCTGGGGCCCGCAGCCCCCCTCTCCCTGGCTGTGCTGCTGTTCGCACCAGGCCCCCTCACTCTTGCTACCGACCCACCAGCGGCTGCTGGCATGGGCCCCTCTGTGCCTCGGCTCTCAGCCATGGCTCTGGGGAAAGGGCACCACCTCTGGGCAGGCTCCCCAGCCCCTGGCCAGCCTCCTTGTGCGGAGCTGGGGGGTGACTGGTGCAGGGGAGCGGCTGGTGCAGGGGAGCGGCCGCAGCTCCTATCTTGAGCTTTAGGAAGCACTTAGGACTGAAATAGTGGGGGCTGGGGAGCTGTGGCTTGAGTCCAGTGGCTGGGCTCACCCCGTGCCAGGGCTGGCCATGCTGCGGGGCTCCCGTAACTCCTGGGCTGCCCGGCAGCCAGAGGGCGCAGGCCAGGGGTGGCACTGGTGCTTTCCACGTGCCCCCACCCCCATCATGCCACTGGACAGGAGCTCAGACAGAGCCCGCCGCCCCCTCCCCAAAGCTGGCCCTCACTGGAAGACGGTGGGGTCAGGCATGGGGGGGTGGGAAGTCTGGGTGGCTCTGCACCCCAGCTGGTGGGCAGGGGTGCAGCACTGCAGGGACCGTGCCCCGGGCTGGGTGAAGCCAGCGGCCCCGGGCAGCCGTTCCCTTTCCACACCCAGCTCTGGCTCCGTGGGCAGGGGCCCTGGCTGGGCCAAGTCAGCCTCTGGCTTCCTGTTCTAAACTTGGCCGTGACCTAGCTCCAAAATAGCCCCTGTGAGCGGCCAGGCCGAGGGCGCCGGGGATCCCCCGCGGCTGGGAGTGACAGAGACACGGCCGCCTCCTTGCCTCAATCCAGCTTTATTGAAAAGGAAACGTACAAAAACAAAAAGTAACTGCTCCTGTACAACAAGCGCGTCCCCTATGTACAGCGCGGCCCAGTGTCTGTACAGCCCCTCTCCCCTGTACAGCGTCCCTATGTACAGTATTTACAGCGCCGCTGCTGCCCCTGGCAGGGCCCCCCCACGCAGTGCACCTGGGCCGGGGCCTCACCTGCCCTGACCCCTGCTCTGGGGGGAGCTCCGGGCTCAGTGCTGGGCGGGGGGAGGGGGTGGCGCCAGCCGCCATGTGGCAGGGGCGTGCGGGGTCCCAGGCCCCCCTCCCTGCTGCTGGAGCCCAGCCCTTCCCACTGCCCGAGGGGAGGCAGAGGTAATGCCTGGGGCTGTCACATGCGCCCCCCCCCCAGCCACAATTAGTGGCCCTCCCTGAGAGGAACAGTGGGGGGGGGGGGGTGAGTCCCTGGAGCACCAGCCGGGGGCTGCGGCTGCCTCTGCAGGGGCCGCTCCCCGTCATGGGGCCCGGCGGGCACATCCCTGCAGCGCGGGGCTCCCAGTCAGTACTCGAAAATAAATAAATAAATAGACGGTGCCCACGGTCGGGGGCAGCAGCCGGGGGCCCAGCCCGGCGGGGGGGGGGGGATATGAGCTCTGGAAGTTGCTACATTTTGCCAAGAGGCTCCGCAGGCCGCGCTGGGGGCGGGCCCCCCCCCCCGCCGGCCCCCGCCGCACGCCCCGTGGCAGGGCGCCCGCACCCCCCTCCGGGGCAGCGG